CCTCTTTACTATATCTAGACTGAGCAAGGTGTCCATCCAAAGAGAATAGGTTCCAAAAAAGGCAGTACAAGCAGTAGGGATAAATTATGGTGCCAGTGCAGGTGCCACAGTATGTCCCAGTCATACAACTAACTGTCGCTCACATTCAGAGGGACTAATTTGGACCCATGCTATTTCCTTCCCTGTCTGGCTGGAGCTGGTGAGCTCCCATTAGCTCAGGTAATGTTTCAGTCATGTACCTATCAAGGTCTTGACCTCTTTGCTTATATTCTCACTCCTCCCACTCTTCAACTGGACTTTTGGAGCTCAGTCCAGTGCTCTGATGCAGGACTATGCCTCTGTTTCCATCAGTTGCTGATTGAAGGTTCTATGGTGATATTTAATATATTCATCAGTCTGACTACAGGGCAATGCCAGTTGGGGCCCCTTCTCCTCTGTTGCTTAGGGTCTTAGCTGGGATCATGCTTGTGGATTCCTGGGAATTTCTCACGTGCCAGGTTTCTTACTAGCCCCATAATGGCTCCCTCAATCACAATATCTCCTTCCTTGTTCTCATCTCTGTCCTTCTTCCATCCTCACTATCCCATTCCTTCAAGTTCTCCTCCACCCTCCCCTTCCCCCCTCATCTGCCCTCCCTTCTCCTCTCACCCCTATGCTCCCATTTTTGTCAGGAAATCTTGTGGGAAGTAGAAAAAGACAAAATCACCTGAGTAACTTGAGGGCATGGGGATCATAGAAGAGGGCAGAGAAGGAGGTGGGAGGAAGAGAGGGAAGCGGAGAAAAATATATAGCTCAATAAAAACAATAAAAAATGAAAAACTGCTACAGGAACAATTCTGTACAATAAATCTCCCTAATTCTTCCTAGCTACTGAGATTTTTGTCTCAATATTTTTACGGAAACATTAGCACACTGTGCATAATATTTTCATCTTTGTTCTTATTTAGACATTTATTTTGGAATTCTATCCTTAGTAGTAGTAATAATTATAGTCACTTAATTACAGGTACTCCTAAGAGTTGAATGTGTTATCTCAGTGTTCCAAACACATAATAAAAACACTCTAAAATACTGTACATCTTTCTGTTTCATAGGTGAGAAACTATTAGTGCAGTGCTACTACTTCTAGTTTTTTTTCTTACATCTCTGGTTTATTTTTTTTAATTAATTTTTCAAGGCCAGAGAGATGGATCTGTGGGTAGTAGTGCTTGCTGTGCAATCAGTAGGACCAGAATTGGAATCGCGGCACCCACATAAAAAGCCAAGCGTGACCACACATGGGCCCACAAGAGAGAACTGCAGGGCTCACTGGCCACTGCCATAGTTCCTGGCTCAGTGACAGATCATGACTAAAGAAATAGAGTATCTAGTAAAAGAACAGGACACCCAGTATCAGTCTATGGCCTCCCCACACATACACAGGCCTGACTGCATACCTGCACAGGCATATGCACATACATGACACACATACATAATACACACAGAGAGTATTTTCAGAAGTGCATTCATCAGTCTATCACATTTTGACCTGAAGTTCCTTAGTTTACTAATTCTTTCACCTTTTTGTATTGTACTATTATCAGCATTTTATTTAAAAATAAGAATTTAAATGACTGTACAGAAAGACACAGATTCACAGGTTTTTTTTTAATAAAATAACACATATCTAGCTCAATTTGTGGAAAATCCCAGTTCCCTTCACTACCTGGGATTCGATTTGGTCAGTTACTTGACTCAGAGGCATTCGGTCTGTTTCTAGACTTTTTTGTTTCTAAGTTTGACTCACCAGAATTCTCAGAAAGGATCTCTCCATAGTAAAGAAGTAAAATACCAACCTTATTAGGTAATAATTAAGATCAAATCATGAACAGAATAAAAGTGTTAATTGGTTTAAATTGCTCTCATTACTGTGGTATAGTTTCATTACTGTCTATATTTGAATGTTAATTTTAAATCCTAAAGAAAATATAAGAGTGTTAGGGAATCTGCTTTGGTTCTATTTTACTTCTGACAACTTCATGAAAAATAAATCAAAATTATTTTACCCAGAAATTTAAAGATGACTATTTTAAATTATGTTCTGGAGGATGAGATTAAGACAGTCTCGAGTATCCTAGGCTGGCCTTGAACTCTCTATGTTGCTAGGAATGCAAGTATTATCACACATTTGCATAGAGGCCATATCCACAAAGTCCAGGGGATGGTATCAGCTCCCTTGAGACTGGAGTTATAGGTGGTAAAAGAGAAGCCTGACGTGGGTCTTGGGAATTGAAGTTGAGTTCTTCAGAAGAATATATTATTCTTTATATTATATTAATTATATTATATATTCAGTGGTATATTATTTGTGTTTTAATACATAAACCTCGCCTAGAGATCAGAGGGCAAAGCAGCCACACAAGTCAGACATAGGGAGTGGGGTGGTAACATATGCCTTTAATCTCAGGACTCAGGAGACAGAGGCAATGCTACCCTGGACTAAAAGATCGATCCAGAAACAGATCCAGGTGGTGATGGTTCACACCTTTAATCCTAGTGTTTGGGAGTCACACACTTTTAACCCAAGCACTGGGGAGGTGGAGACAAGAGTGATATGGCTGGATGGAGAGAGAAATATAAAGGGGAAGAGACAGGAACTCAGAGGAGTGTGGAATCTGAGGATTTGTGGAAACACACCCATACACATAAATAACAAACTAAAAATTTTAATTTAGTTAAGAAAAAATCTTGTTCTGTACAAATATCTTAAGTGTGACAAGAAATAATACCTTCATCTTTAATTATGAACAACATCTTTAATTTGGAGTTAGGCCAAATACACACCTCATGTATTCACCTTTTCATAAAATAAACGCACTCACTGAATGTCTTTAGTGTCAGTTGGTGGGAATAGAGTTGGAATGTTCAAATGCAATGAGCATCTATGTCTGAGCTCCTCCTGCTTTAGCGAAAGAGTATATTTAGGAAAGCAGGTTGAGTCTCATAATGTTCATATGAACCATGTGGAACATTGTTAAGATAAAGATTACAAGTCAGAACCATAAATGATTTTCTAGTGGTAAAGGAATTGCTGTCTTGGGGCCCTACTTTGAAAAACAAGTCAAAAGCAACCTAGCTTACTGCATCCTTTTCTTTCTCCTGTCCTGTACTGTTGGCTTGCTACCATGACACTGTTTAAGTAGATAAGAAAAGCTCTATACTTCTGTTTCATATCCTCCTTCAGACAGAACATGCTAAGGACCCCTAACCTACTCAAGTCTACCTGAGTGACAAAAGCAATAGTCTCAACAAGTGATGAATCTGAACCTTCCTTTTGGTTTATAGAACTGCAGTGCAGAAGAAGCTCCTTGTACTTAATGTTTTTTTTCTTTTTATAATGCATTCGAATGCTTGTTCGTTTCTCAAAGGAGGTGAATGGTAGTTTGGTAGTTATTTCCAAATTCAGGGAAACCCTCCTGTAAGCACTCAAGTCTCCCACTGGGAAGAATTAAGTCTCAGGAAGTGGACAGGGATCAGCACTTCACATTTGAATGACTGGGTATGAAATAACAATTTGTGCCTTCATTATCTCATTTCCTGAGGCTAATAAGCAGCATTCTGCACTTGACAGTGAACAAAATCTCCACCTCAAACAAGATGTGTTCAGGACTTATCAATGGGTTTTCCATGGCTTTTGCATTTCCAAACACCCCTGCATCAACAAAGATAGCTCATTTGTTTCACTTTTGAAAACTTGATTTTTTTCCCCAAGACTTTCCATTTCACGCCATGTGAATTTTATTGAGATCGCTTTCACAGAAGCTAAGTGCTGGTTGGATGGGCCCAGAGGGATGGCAGTCACAGCCCTGGCAATGTTGGAAGTCTCTTGAGACATTTCTTTGCTACTAAAATTCCCTTGGAGAGTCATAGGGAAAAATCCAAATTGTCCAATAGTTTTTGTCACGTGAATATTTTGACACTGTAACCTGTAACTCTTTTAATGATATTAACTTAAAAACAGCAGCATAGAAATTCAGCTAATTTTTCATATTAGAGTAATTAATATCACATGGATATAGATTGTTTTCAATTATAGTTAAAACTGGCTAAAATAATAATTATAAGATTTTATACCACAGTTAGCCTTTCAAAATGATCTGTAAATATATTTTTTAATAATTTTCAAGTAAGACTGTCTTATTAAGTGATTATAATTAAATAAGTGAAAATAAACTTATCTTTTAATATCTCTGCTAGAATATCCGGTAAGAATTTTAATATTATAGTATATTGTCACCCATAGTGCCAACTGTATTATACTTCTTCCTAACGTATAACATAAAAACATAACTGTATTGGGCAGAAATAAATCAACCCAGCTTTTCCCTAGGGTAGATATTTATTCGATGACCTCTAAACTTTCATTAATATTAATTCTAAGCTTTATGATGAAAGTAGCTAACAATTTTTAACACTCTGAGTATGTTAGGCAACACTGTAAACTATTTACCAACTCTTTAACCTTTAAGATTGTATGAATTGGCTCCATTATTCCTATTTTGTAAACATAGCAGAAATAGGCAGGTTAAGCATCCTGCTTAAATGTACAACCTTGTTTTGGGCAGAATCTATCTTAAAGCCAAATATTCTTAAATTCAAAGAAGTTATGTTTGATAGACTTTAAAACTCCTGTTCTTTGCATAAAAATGGTAGAGTATATGGTAACTATTTCCGAGAGTAGGGAAACCCCAATGTCAGCATTCAGACTCCCACACTGAACATGTCTAAATCATTTTCATTTGTTCCTTTAGAGTTTGGAAAGCATTTAAAAACCCGAGTGCACATGAATTTCACCTTCAGTTCCCCACAATGTACATTTAGAGATGCATATATCGAATGGTTTGTCCAAGAATGAACTAGCATGGAGGAGGAAACCTGACAGTTAAGGGCATCTTTGACGTGGAAACTGTTGACAACACTTGGATCCACAAAGCTCCATCTCTTTCTCTCTTTCTTCACAGAATGTGTGACACGGGAGAAGGACTATTCACTTTTCAAACCAGGGAAGGAGAAATGATCTATCAGAAGGTCCACTCTGCAACACTGGCCATAGCTGAGCAACATGAAAGATTAATGCTAGAAATGGAGCAGAAGGCCCGGGTAAGGCTCCATCCTATGTAACCTGATGCTTGTGAATGAATGTCCCTGGGCTGATATATATTATATTTATATGAGTCTATTTGCATAGTGCATGGTGTCCACCCATGCCCTAGCCTGTTACCCAACCTATAAAAGTCAACCTCTAAAGTCTGCAATAGCTTACTCAGTGTAACACAGAAATTATTTTTGTCCACAACTTAGAAACCCTGCTCTCATAGATCTGTGTGTGACCTATTGCAGATTGCTTAGAGAATGAGGCAAGAGTTGAAATTTGTTAATTATACTTGTTTTAAGTGTGCAAATTATCATACAGGAATTTTAATTATATTTTCATGAAGAAAACATCAAGAATTGTTTCAGTAGACTACAATTATTAGAGATGAAACACGGGATCCTGGTTGGGTTCCAAACTAGTGAGTCCAAAATCACTGCTTGCAGATTACACCACTGTGGAGGGTGTTCAGTCTCTAAAGGTCTTTATCTACTAAGATAGCAGAGCTATCATAGTTCTATCTATTTAATTGCCATACACATACACATACTCATGAAACCCTTCGTCTTATGGTGGTGACAGAGCATATAGGGGGACTCTGAATACTTACAAACCTTACAGTATCTGAGAAGAAAGCAAGTTATTGAACCCACATGTGGTGACAACTTATCATTCATACACTTTCAAGAATGTCTAACAATCCTGAGGTAATTTTCTTTTAAATAAAACTTAATAACATCAACTGGGGCTGCTGAATGCTTATCAAAGTCTGCCAAACCTGGGGAAAGGGAAACTGAAATCCAATCAGAAAGTGGTTGCTGAAAAGACTACAAGAAAACAGTATTTTCTAGACACAGCTGGTTAGTTGTACAGATGAACACACATTAACTTTTACAGAATTCACAAAATCTGAGACCAGAAAAATGAGCCAGAATGGAGGTGGGAACATGGGCTCAAAGTGATGCACTTAGCTGATGAGGTATTGGGATTTGATACCTTCTGGGAGAGAATGAAGTCAGTTTACATTAAGATTGGCCCTGGGAGGTCTGCCATGCTCTAGGACAGATCCCACTCCCCAAAGCATTAGACCCGGTGTGTTAAAACAAAAGTTGGACCTAGTGTGTTTTTAAAAGATTATTGTCTGCATCTAAGATGTTTTATCCAGTTTTTTATATGTTAGATTGTATTTTTAAAAGGAAAACAATGCTGGATGGGTAGGAATGCAGATGTAGATCTTGGAAGAGTTTGAATGTGAATATGGTCGAGATACATTGTATGAAATCTTTAAAAAATTAATACAAATCTTTTAAACACAATAAGAAATGGAGATTTATTTTGGAAACATTGGAAGATTAAGCCAGTATACTACATTTTAAACTAAAGTTATTTCTGGTTCATTACTATTATTAATTTCATTGATAAAATTATTTAATTTAGGTATTTAAATTGAATGGTGTGTCTAGAACCCATTTCTCTCTCGTATATAGAAATCTTTTTTCAAGAACAATGGAAATTCATCTATTTCCACCACTAAAAGATGCTCTACTATCAAGGCACCACATTACCCAGAAGAATGTTGACCTTCCTTGTAATAGAAACCACTCATCAGAGGCTCAGCCATAATTACCCCATGTTCCAGCATGCGGAATTGAATACAGATCTACCCTGGATAGACAGGAAGTTCACAAATGTCACTAAAGGCACAGACATTGATTTTGGAAGGGAGATCTTGGAGGGAGTGAGAGGAAGAAGGGTGCAGGAAACTTCCTTTTTAAATTTTTTTATAGACATGGTAAAATGCCTACAGTTTAAAAACATTAACTGGAATTATAGGCATGGTAAAATGTGCATGGCTTAAACAATAACTGGGGAAAATATGAATGAAAAAAAGTTTTCCTGACACATTTTCAATTATAAGTAAATTTTAAAAAGACATTTTGAGAAGTAATTTCTAAATTTGTGATAACCAAAAGCAACTTAAACACCTATTTGAGAGCTCCTCACATAGAAATTTATACTTTATCCTTTTGTAAAAAAAATCAATATTTAGGTGGGCAGTGGTAGTCTTGCCTTTAATCTCAGCATTTAGGAGGCAAAGGCAGCTAGAACTCTATGAGTTCGAGGCCAGCATGGTCTACAAAGGGAGTTCCAGGTCACTCAGAATGTTACACAGAGAAAACTTGTCTAGAAAAACAAAAAGAAAATCAATATTTAAAACGATTTTTCCTGAAATTCTTATTTTTATTGTCACAGGGAAGACAGGATAGAAAGAGAAGCTCTGCTGTAAAGTAATTTAAATAATGATAGAAACCAAAGGAACTCACCCTTCTCCAGTTAAACTTTACTATAGCATGCACTAATCATTCCTCACCACCCCTCTACAAAATGGTGTTCCATGGAGTGCTCTATCAATAAGTAGATAGCATGTTGTTCTCATAGGCAGTTGCATGATCTGGAAAACACTACCATATTGCATCAATTCCAAGATGACAGACTTGGTTTTGTTTCTTTTTCCTTCATTTTTGAAGCTCTCACTCAAAAGTAGGCCACAGCTTGACTGGCAGAACCAATCATTTGCAGTGCTTGATATAATGATGGTTTGTCTTAAAATGGATGAAATTTTAGAGCATATAAAATATAGTGATAGTTTTTGTAAGTGGCGAGCATGTAGTCATTTATAACTTTTGGAGGAACTAAAAGGCCTCCCAGATGGGTTGGTTATATTCTTAGCAGTTTAACTTCCACTGCAGGACTCCTTTGAAACATTCTTCTTAGGTACATTTTCAGGGAGTTCTATCAGCATGAGAAAGATAAGGTTTTCTACAGCAAAAATATGAAGAACTTGGAAGCATCTTACTGAGGTGGTACACAGAACATCTTTAACATACTTATCTGGGTATAGTCGCAGAAGCTTTGCAAACTCTAGGAATCATATGCATAAACCGTTATCAGCTAATTTTCTTAAATGAAAAAAAAAAGATTTCGAAGACTGAAACAACTCAGCATACAAATATAACATTGCAAATTCAAAGTTATCTTATTTCAAAACAAATAACCAAAGCCAAATAAGTTGTAAAAGTCAAGATAACAATTTGAAGGGCGAGAATGGATGTATCGGTGTACACATGTAAGCCTGGCACTTGGCAGGCTGAAACAGGAAGATGACAGATTTAAGGGCTTCATAGCAGGTTCCTGTCTGACAAAGTAAAAAACTGTGACGGACAATCGGTGCTGCTTTTGATGATGGTAATCACTGCGCTCACATCCTGTGGTGGTAGGTGAAAGGACACAAGGTGTGTGGAAGTGGTTTGCACTACTAAGACTAAAGGAGCCATGTAATGTGAAGCAGGTTCTTTATCCACGTCTTCCTATAAAAGGCTATGTGGAGCCTGGCAATAACATCCACTTTAGAAAGTTAGTATACAAGCAGGGCTTTCTGGAAAATGTACTGATACTGAAAAATTACTTACATAAAGCATTATTTACTTAAGGCTTTAGAGAAACAAAATTGTGAAGTAAAACAACCATGAGCTTTAATATTTAGCAAGTGTTCATCAGCATCCGTGCGTTAAGAGTATGTCTGTAAAGGCATATGCCCTCTAATTTACAGATGTGAAATATTCTAAGAATACACAGATATTTTTTCATCTCTGCACTGTTGGAGACAGACATAAGGCCTCCACTACCAACCTTTATCTCAAGGCTTTTTTCCCCCCTTCTTTTCATTTTGAGACAGGGTCTCATTAATTTTCCTGGGCTGGCCTTGGTCTCCGAACCCTCTCTCCTCAGTCTCTTGTAGCCTTATGATTTAATATGTATGTACTTGCACAATAGGTGGAATATACATATAATAAAATTTAAAAGTTTTTTGTGGAAAAAAAAGAATACAGCACCAAGCCTGGCTTGAATGTACATATATTTTTTAAAGTATCATTGATTATAAAAATAAATGAATATTGTTAAAAACTACTTGTTTTGATGCTGTTAGTCTATGCTAGGGTTTGTTTTACGTTTTCTTCGAATTACCTAAATGTAATTTGTTTGTACATAATTAGAACATACAGTAGTCACAATCACTGTATCAACCTAAATTAAAATAATGTTCCATGAAGATCAAGTGAATGACATTGAACAACTTCCATTAAATGACTGTGTAAATCACATTTTATTTGTTACCTTGGAACAAGCTCAGCGAAATGTCTACTAATTCCTTCCCGTTTATCTTGAGTAAAATGGAAGATTAAGTGTGAGGTGTCCCTTACTGAAAATTAAGCCAAGTCTGTGAGAAACCAATTGCCCATAAACCATCAAACTTCAGAGGATTGTTTTAATGACTACAAACAGTGCCAAGCATGGTTGGCTTGCTATCCCTGGGGTCTCTGTTCACATACAACTTTAATGTTTCATGAACTTGTTTCTAAGAACAAATAAAATGCAGTATTCTCAAGTAGGAGTGCCCTGTATATACTTCTTCATTGCAAAGAACTTTTTTTATAACTTACATGCATTTCATATATTATATTAGTGTGTTTTTTGGTATTGGAATCTATGCAATGGTTTTTTTAATTTTTATATAGCACATGTTTTTATCTATCCTCTCTAGTCTTGGACGTATCAACGAACATGTTGGCTTATGTACTATGAAGCATTTAACTCATTCAATAGGTGTGATGGTTAGTGTTAATTGTTAACTAGACAGATATAAAATAACCTGAGAGGTAAGTCTATGGGAGAATTTCTTGATTTAATATTCAAAGCAGAAGCCCCACCCACTCTTGGTGGCACCTTTCCCTGCCTGGGACCCTGGACTGCATAAATAAAGAAAGCAGGCTAAGAGCAGGAGCATTCACTGCTCTCCTCTCTTGATTATGATTGTGATGTGGGAGCTGCGCTCAGGCTGTCTTGATTTTCTCACCTTTGTGAACTGTAAGCCAACCTTTTCTCCCCTAGGTTGCTTTTGTCAGAATATTTCATCATACCAACAGGAACAAAAGTGAGATACGAACTCTCCTTTTCTAGTTTGACTCATTCATGTGAATACACAGACACACATACATGCAGGCACATTTATGAATATACAGTCTGCTTAGCTCTGTTCATCTCTGTCCTACCCTTACCCACCTGCTCACATTGATCAAACATTCCTTCTGTTCATTTTTTCTTAGGTTTTGTACTTCTGTAGATCACCTTGGCCTAGAACAGATATGTATCATTACCTCCAATGTCATTTTTTTGCTTGCTCTATTTTTGTAAATAGTACTAGGATCTATTTTTCTATTACCTATATATAGATCTCCAATATATACAAATAAATACCTTGTTAATTGATTGTCCGAATAAGATCTAAGGCAGCTTGCTCATATAGGTATCAATTTCATTGTGTATGAAGCATTTTGAGACCCAGTCATGCTCTCTGACTTTGCCTTTGTGGTCTGTGCTCTCAGGTAGAACACAGACATCTCAACTATTCTTCACACTTGGTTGAGCTGTGACCTGCACTCTTCTCAGACACCAAATAAGCATTCTCTGGTTCATTGCTCAGCCTCCCAATGAAGTAAATGTTCAGAAAAAGGAGGTGACTGAAAGCCCTGGCAAATATTTCAAGGGTTGAGCTAACTGCTCTCCTGATGAATTGATTTTGCATTTGTGCTATAACAACTTTTCAGAGTCCTAACCCCGCCTATGCAAAACAAGAATCAGGTGAATGTTGCCTGCAAGGTAGTTAGTAGTTAAGTACTCAGGTAGTTCTGGCACAAAGGCCCAGGATTTGTTGTGGTTTCTTAAACAATTTCTCACTAGATAAAATAAAAAAAAAGCAATATAGTAGATTCTCCAAAAAGAGAAACTAGAAAATCCTGTTCCAATAAATGTATTAGAACACAAAAAATTCTAAAAGACATGAATTAATCCTTTTTCATTTATTAACACACAATAAATAAGACAGAAATGGAGTTCTGTTTTGTTTTATTTCCAACTTGACACAAGCTAGCAACCAACAAAAAACCCACCTCAACTGAGAAATATCTTCATCAGATTGTCTACAGGAAGTTTGGATGACATTTTCTTGATAAATGATGGATCTGAGAGAGTCTAAGCCACTGAGGGTGACTATACCCCTAGGCAGGTGGTCCTATGGTGTATACAAAAGCAGGCTGAGAAAGCCATAGAACTCAGTTCAGTAGGCAGTGTTGCTCCAATGCTGCTGCTTCAGTTTCTACCTTCTGGTTCCTGCCTTGAGTTCCTACCCCAACTTACCTCAGGGATGAAGAGAGTAAAAATGAAATAAACCCTTTCGTCCTCAAGTTGCTTTTGATCACCGTGTATTATGAGAGAAGCAGAAACCCCAACTGTGTATTTGGTGAGGACACAGTTCACTCCCTAACAGTACTTTATACAGGTATGCATGGGTGAGTTACACTCTGAGGGCCAGGAAAACAATTCAAATGTGCAGGAACATAGGTAAACAGGTAGAGAAACTAAGCCATAACCAAGTTTTCAGTACAGCTGTGTCTCTTTCTACAAGAAAATACAAAGTAACTAAAGTTAAGGCAAAGGGATGAAGAAATTGAATATAGTGCACCCATACACTGAGACAATGGGGATGTTCTATCAGGAACTCACCAAGGCCAGCTGGCCTGGGTCTGAAAAAGCCTGGGTCAAAACTGGTCTCGCTGAACATAGCGGACAAGGAGGACTACTGAGACCTCAAGAACAATGGCAATGGGTTTTTGATTCTACTGGACCTATTGGTTTCATGGGAGCCTAGGCAGTTTCGTGGATGCTCACCTTACTAGACCTGGATGGAGGTGGGTGGTCCTTGGACTTCCCACAGGGCAGAGAACCCTGATTGCTTTTTGGGCTGACGAGGGAGGGGGACTTGATTGGGGGAGGGGGAGGGAAAGGGGAGGTGGCGGTGGGGAAGAGACAGAAATCTTTAATAAATAAATAAATTAATTAATTAATTAAAAAAAATAAAAAAAGAAATTGAATATAGCTAAAGGCATTGACAGCATGGATAGGGAAAATTATCCAACAAGAGGTGTGAAACCTCAGATGTTAAGGGGGGAATTTTCTGCTGGTTTCCTGGAATTCATTTTAAACAGTTACCATATGCTTATTGTGCTTCTAGAATGCCCAAGACTGATTATTTGGTATAAAGCAATATTTACCAAAATTAAATTTAACTAAGAAGGAAAATGACTTTTATTAAATTTTAGAAATATCTATTTTATGAAAAATAATACATTATATTAGATTAAGAAAATAGTAGACTATATAATAAACATAACTATGATTTGTATTTATTTATTCAGTTTAGTTGATGTTTTTAATGTACATTGCTGACATGAATTAAATAAGATTTATGTGTTTAATCAACTCCGTGTTTCATAAGAGAAGTTGACTTCCTCTATCAATAACACCATCATAAAATGAAACCTACCTCTACTTCTCTAAAGTAGAGGGAGACTAAGTTTACCCATGTGGGCATATTTGATGGTGTCTATACATAGGTATCTCTAAACACAGTTGTTTCCCGTTGTCAGGGCTGGGGCACTAATAACAAGGATGCTGCGGGTACAGAAAGCTCTACTTAATCTCAGCACAGAAAACAAAATCTATTTCCTTCACATTCCTACACATACCAAAAAATATGGAATATGGGTGTGGGGAGCATACATATTGTGTAAATAGAGAAGAGAATGTGAAATCATTGTGGACACAGAAGAACCAGCTGTGAAGTTGCTCTGCAGGTAGGCTTTCAAATAAACTGAAAATGTTGATCTTGTACAAGATAGCAAATTCAGATTACTCCAAATTACATGTTCCAATATGATAACATTTCATGAAAATTTTATAGCAACAGAACAAAGAACAGCATCACTTTCCAAATATAGTAGTTGTAATGCCATGTAGAAAGGTTACAAGGAAGCAGAGACATCTCTGTTATAAGCCTCAGAAATTATCTGATGGCCTTCTTAGCTTTGGGATGGCAGTAGCTAAGGGGTCTGTGTGTATTGCTCAGCTTGTGTTAAAGTAACAAAGACCTAATAAAACCATTTCTGTATTTTTAAAACAATAGGAATAAATTAATAAGCATAATTTTCTTTCTTAAAGCTGTGAATCCATTCCCCCCCTCTCTCTCTCTCTCTGTGTGTGTGTGTGTGTGTGTGTGTGTGTGTGTGTGTGTGTGTGTGTTAATCTTACGCCCCAGGGAATGATGTAATCAGCTAACCTCAAACAGTACATTCAAAATACAAACACATTTAGCTCTCTTATTACAGAGATTCTCAGTGAGAGCATTCATTCAGTATGTATAAGAAAATGACACATTAAAGAAAAGCAGCCCTGCACAATGGTGGGAGGAGGTGTGAAGAAATGTCTGAAAATGGCTCTCTTCTGTTTGGCACCTTTTCTAGGACATGTCACTCTGGCAGCCTTCTCCTTCATTTCTTGAATTATTTCACCATTCTATACATTGGGAAACACTGTGGACTGTGTAAATATTTCTCAACCACTAAAATGCAAACCAGTTCATAACATGACCTCTGACTGATTCTCCCCTGAGTTTTTTCCATTGTTCTTTCTTCATTGGCAAGAAGCCATTGAGATTCTTAGTGCCCCTCTTAATGAGTCAGATTCCAGTCTTAACAAGTTAAGAATATAATATATATATATATATATATATATATATATATATATATATATTTCCCTCTTGATGTGTTTTAATATTTATAGTAGTATGTGGCATGCATGTGGTGTATGCACATGTGTGATGGGCTGAGCACCTGTGTATAAAAGCCAAGGGACCAACAGATATCCTGGTTTATCACACTACCACTTATCCCCTTGAGATAGCCTCTTACTGAAACTGAGGCACACTCTGGTGTGAATAGACAGCTCACACCCTGCAGCACTGGGGTTACTGGAATGTACTTACTCACCCAGCTTTTTATGCAGATGCTAGGCTTCATTCTTGTGCAGCAATCTCTTTTACCCATTGAGCTATTTCCCTTCTTTCCCATTTTGTTCTCTTTACTTTTCTAGATGCCTCCTTATTTTTAAGAATTGCATACATTGTAAAAGAAATGTGATCATATCTACCTCATTTACCTCCTGTAAATCTCCCCCATATTCACCCAACATGCCTGTTCCCAATATTCTCTCTCTCTCTCTCTTTTCCTGTTTGTCCATCTCTCTGTCTCTATCTCTCTGTGTCTGCCTGTCTGTCTCTCTGTCTCTGTTTTCCCCCACCCATCTTTCCACCCTTCTCTTTCCCTCCCTCCCACTCAAACTAGTTACTACTGTCTATATATACACGTCTGTGAACCACCCACTGGAGCATGGGAAATCTTTCAGTGACAATTTCACTTTTGACACAGTTATCATTGAATGGGGAATTTTATGGATATCTTTCCCATATTCTTCTCTCTGTCACTCACATTAAATCCTTGGCATTTTAAAGCGTTGATTTGAGCTTGATATCTCCGAGAAGGCCTAAAATACATTTTCTTTCTCTTTTAGCTTCAGACAAGCTTGACTGAACCGATGACATTATCGAAATCCATCTCTCTTCCTCGCAGTGCGTACTGGCATCACATTACGCGTCAGAACAGTGTTGGAGAAATCTACAGCTTGCAAGGCAAGTAGCTTTACAGTGACAAAACCACACTGACTGCTATCCACGTCCTTCGGTGTAGGAGTCATACAAATTCTGTGTGTTTGCATTGATTGCTTTTTTTTAAAAAATTTTGTTTCCGTTCAGCAACTGTCTCAGGTCAGAGTAGGAACTCTGAGATTCACCATTACTTTTTCAAGCTATCATTTTATAATGCATCCTATAATATGATTCCTAAAATTACTGTGATGGATAAGGACCAAATTTGCCAGATGTTGATGAAAACATTGTACAAAGCACATTGTGAAAAGCTGAAAGTTGAGTGATGAGGTCTGTGTTGTGCTGTTTTGCAAAGGACTTCTTTTTCAACATCTTTTATTCTTCCTACGATTAAGCATCTGATCAGGAGTTGGTTTCAGGCCTCGTACTAAAATGCTTCACAAATTTACTCACAGAAGTTTTCAGATCTAGTCAATGTCTTACGAGAGAGACCCATCGAGGAGGGGCATCATGAAAGAGGTGGAATGTAAACAAGATGCCTCTGTGATTTTCCCAGTGACCAGTTAATCAACACGGGAATGGTTTGTTGGCTGAGGAGACTAGAAAGGCATCAAACAACTGATGGACAGCCACGGAAACCATGCCATTACCCATTCTATTCTTTCTCTTTTGTTTTAAATGATTACCATTATCCTTCATATAGAATATTCTCTCTAGAGGAAGAAACATAAGGATAAAACTAAAATGCACAGCTAAAAACACACATTATGCTTGAAAGAGGTAGGTATCAAATAAAATACCTAGTGAATACACAACTATTAAAGCCATAATTTGGTATTTTTGTATTATTTTCTTATTTTCTTTAGCTTTCGTACTTATTAACAGCACTAATTGTTCTGCAATGCAAAAATTACATTACAAGTGAAGAGAAATAATATGAATGGAAGAATAGGAATAGCCTTATTTTTTTGCCATAGTTTCAGAAAGACAAATGAAATTAAATCACTAAGAAATGATTAAATATATGTTCTTTTCAGAAAAGAAGTTGGAAGATTTTAGTCATTTATAGAAGGCAATTGCTGCCAGGTGGCGGTGCATGACTTCAATCCCAGCACTCAGGCAGTAGAGGAAGAAGGATTTTTGCAAGTTTGAGGCTAGCTTGTTCTTCAGAGTGAGTTCCGGATAAGCCAGGGCTATCTTATAAGAATGTAGTATTTAAACAAATGTCCAGAAAGGAAAATGAGTGAATGAGCTTCTCCTGTGTCTGCTCTCCACTAACCCCTAAAATAGTTCATGGCCTGGCTTTATTGATGCTGCCTTTGATGCTAAGGCCAGAAAACATGCTTTTAAGGTTATAAATATGTATATACAGATAGGACTATACTCAAGCAGAAATTGAAACATTTGAATCAAATAATTAACATTAAATATTTAAGTAAAATAATGTGACAGGTTAATAGAAAGCATTGGAGGGCAGTTTATAAACACTCTGCTTTGTTTGTTTATTTGATTATAAATTCCAGAATAGCACACAATTGTTTTCATGACCATATAACTGAAGCTTTTTTTCAATAGAAGAGTTACTATTTAGACTGAAAAAAAAATAGCTTCAGTTTGCTTTTGATGTGAAACTGTTTCACATCAATAAATATAACCAGGGTAGATTGAAGTATCTCTTTAAACACTGCCAGACATTCTTTGAAGGACAATGTTAATTTTGCATTCTAAAATCAACTATTAAGTATTTAAAATTTCCCGTGCTTTGTACCTCTAATACCAATTAGTCTATGTATATGGCTTCAATATAATGCCATTCCTTGCTTATTTGGTTGGTTATTACTTTGTACTATATACATACAAATATATGGATTTATTTTCTTTTTTTAATATTTATTTATTTATTTATTATGTATACAATATTCTGTCTGTGTCTATGCCTGAAGGCCAGAAGAGGGCACTGGACCTCATTACAGATGGTTGTGAGCCACCATGTGGTTGCTGGGAATTGAACTCAGTACCTTTGGAAGAGCAGGCAATGCTCTTAACCTCTGAGCCATCTCTCCAGCCCTGGATATATTTTCAATTTAATTCTATTTCATTAACTGTGCGATGACTATTATACTGTGATTTTCTTAGACTAATATATCTTAGCATTTGGTGTAGTCCTATTTTATCATTATAGCATCCACAAGGGTGGTAATAATTATCCAGATACTCAGGAAGAGATAAAATAAATAGTCAGATACAAAGATGGGCAGACAACAAACAGATGATAGGTAACAGATACAGATATGAGCTTGTTAGAGACACTTGACAGAAATGAATTATTCTGTGGTAGCAGTCCACATAAGCAAGGGATATGAATCCTCAAAAGCTTTCCTCACTGGAACTAAATTCTAGTGAAATCAGCATTGAACAAAATTACTGAAACAAGGGAGAAATAAAAATAGAAGCAATGAATTTCAGTACTTTTTTGTGAATCTGTAATGCATGTACAAGTCTGGTTACCTTGCATCCGTGGTTATGATCCTGACTCGGCATTGTTTCTTTTTCACAGTTGGCTGACATTGTGTAGTTTGCAGAGTCTAATAATATGAATGCTATTTGTCAAGTGTATCAGTCAGTTTTCTTGCATGCAGTCTCCATACCACGGTATTCTCTGCATAGCTGGTTTGTTACTGTTTAATAAAACAAAACTATACTAAGGTAATTACTATACATCAAATTTTAGAATCTATTCAATGAAAATTATATCTTATTGCCTGTAAACAAGAAGAAGCCTAGGAGCAGAGAGGCTCTTCTGATTTACAGTTCAGGGAAATGCATTCCCCTTGTGACAGCTGAAGCACATGGCAGCTGGTCACAGTGGGATTTTACACGGGATGCAGAGCAGGAAGTCTCCTCTCCACTGGCTTTCTCATTTTTATTCAGCCAAGGACCCAAGCACATCAGATCATTCTCTTCATATCCAAGACAGGTCTTCTCTCTTAAATTACCCCTTTCTAAAAACACTGTCATGGGTAGAATCAGAGACTGTTTCCATGGAAATTCTAAAACCGGCAAAGCTCAAACGAAAATTAACTATTATATCAGGGTAAACCACAGGTAAGAGTCAGGAATGCAAATTCATATCAGAATTTTCTCATAATATTTTTACATTTAAGCTATGAGCTGGAGATCAATGTGAATTAAATTCGGTGAGCTTTCATTCAGAAGGAAAAGGAGAAAAGTTTTATTGCTCCAACTTTAATAGATTGGTTTCATTAATAAGCAGCACATGTACTAGAGCTGAAAAAAAATCATGGCCTGAAAACAAACTAATCTATATTAAACTTACATAAAACTTCGATTGCCTGTCAGCCTCTACGCATTACACTTAGCTAAGTTTTGCTCCATTCATTTCTTTGTATGTTGCCAGACACCCCTTTAAAGACAAATATGTCAATGGTGAGATGTAGCACTTGACTGTGTGATTGGAGAATAAGTGACATAGAATAAGCTGGTCTCTCCATGATACTCCCTGAGGGTGCTCTGACAGAGTGAGATTGTGGAGCCAAGATCAAATAAATGAGAAGAGGGATCATTAGCTACTAACAAGTCTCCTATTGTCTTGAATAATTCCCAAGTAGTTCATGATAGGTCAACTTTGCCCACTTTTCCTTGCAGCAGTGGACTTCTCTTTATTTTAGGAGATAGAAATTCTTAATTTATATTAGCAGGTATATTTGTTCAACTTCCTCTCTATATATACAAATGTTCATGTCATACACATACAATAATGCTTTCTCTAAAATCAAGGAAGTCTATGCTGAAGGAAAAAAAACATGATTTTGAACTTTTGACTCTGAAATTATGTTTAAAAATTACTATCCTTCAGGCAGTGGTGGTGCATGCCTTTAATCCCAGCACTTGAGAGTCAGAGGCAGGCAGATTTCTGTGAGTTTGAGGCCAGCCTGGTCTACAAGAGCTGATGCCAGGGCAGTCTCCAAAGCTACACAGAGAAACCCTGTCTCAAAAAATCAAAAACGAAATAAAGAAAGAAAAGAATAAAGAAAATAACACTGTCTCTAAAAACAAACAAAGAAAAATTATTATCCTTATAAATTTTATATTTATCTTTAAGAAGGAAGAAGGGAGAGAGGAAAGAAAATTGGGGGAGTTTGGAGAGAACGCATCAGCCTGTTTCTGGTTCTCAGTAACAGCTTGTAGAAAGATGAGTCTCTTCTAGAAGCAATAGCTTCTCTCTACCAAAATAAATATAGGAGAAAGAGGAGTTGACAGGGGAAGATTGAGAGGGAACATTTGAACTAAGTATAGACATTTCCTATTGCTAGTCATTAATTTAGCAAGAACACAAACTGTCCTGAAATGCAGCAAATCTCTCCCTTTAGCCTGCCAGCTCAATTTCTTTGCTCTTCATCTGCTGCTCTCCTGCTGGGGTTAACTTCTCTTCAATAAACTGTACTGAACGGGGAGCTGAAGTGGTCTCAGAGAGTGTGCTTATGGGATGCAAACTAGTCTTAATTTTTTGATATATGTAATCTCTTATTTTCATATTAAATTAAGTGGAATAGATATAGTCTGCATTGTTTCTGAAGAGTTTAAACAAAAACAACTGAGGACCTATCTTGTGTAAAGGTGGGAGCTTTAGAAGCTTCACTTTCATTAACACTGATTAATATCCAAATGCCAGCTCTGAATTGCGTGCCCTCTTCTGCCCTCTGCGTGTCTGTAATTAAGCTGCAGACCACCAGTGTCAGCACCGAAGCTTACCTAATTACACCAAAGGCATCTGATGCTCACGGAAAGGGCAACTGTGGCTCCAGTTTCTCAGAAGGACAGGACAGAAACAGACAATTAGAATTAGAGATAACCTTCAGAAAATGGTAAAGAAAATTCCAACATAGACTAGTGAGGTACATCAAAGACTTTTTTATTCTTCCATTAGCTATGACCCTCTGTCCTTCTTTACATCCTGGGAATTCAGTTTTAAATTTAAATTCTGTATAGTTTTCCCATTGATA